TCTTTTGAATAATATCATTACTACTTCTTTATTCTTAATTTTTTCTTAACTTTATCATGTCACAATATATTAGAGTTTGATAAAAGGTTAAATATTGCTGCAAACAATATTGTTATAAAAATTCTGATGGATGTATAGTCGATACAAGAACAAAAAGAAGCATGAAGAAGAAGAAGCACATTTTCAAAATGAGTTCGTTAAGAAATGAAAAACAAATAGTTATCAAACTATATATGCTAAGAGCTTAGTTCACTCGAAAGATAATAATCGAAATGAAATTAGTCTTAATGATATAAAGTTGGCAATAAAATCTATTATGCCTAACCAAGTTCAAACATCATCTCTTATAACTACAAAAAAAAGATAAAGATATGATCAATTTTGGTCTACAAAAAGTCAAAACAATACTAAAAATATAAACTATGCCAAGTCAGATAATCATAAAAATAAGACCGAATTGGATAATATTAATAATGATGATTACTTTAAAAATAACAAATATATTGATCACTTTGAGAATAACGAATATGATCATTTTGAGAATAATTATGAGTTTTTGAATAATAGCGATAGTATAATAGAAAATAATGATATTGATAATAATTACTCTGAAGATGAGATATTAATATCTTTGGACTATTCAGAGCTTTATAAAGAAATTGAAGATTTAGAAAGTATTTTTGTTAATCCATTTCATGCTCCTAAAGTTGATTTCAATAAACCTATCTATATTCCTAAGCCTAATATAAATCTTAATGATTTATTGTAGATTCTTATTTGGGTTTTTAAATTTCAAGAAAGATTTCAACTATCAAATATAGTAACTGATGCTCTTATTAGTTTTTTTTGCTTAATTTTAAACAATATTGATAAAAGTCATTTTGAAAAGTTTCCATCAAATATTAATCTTGCACGGGATATGTTGGATTTCAATAAACAGTATAAAACATATACTGTTTGTCCCAAATGTAATAAATTATATAATATGACAGAAATAATATCAGATAATCAAGTTTCTAATAGTTTTAAATGCATCTATAAAGAATTTCCAAATTATCTAAAACCAAGTCAGCAAAAGCCTTGTGGAGAAGAGTTACTAAAAAAAATTTTAACTGTAAAAGGACATATTTGGTGACCACGAATGCAATATTCACTACCAAGTATAAA